ACCGCGCGCAGCGTCAGGTCCGTAAAGTCGAGCATGCCTGTTCACAGCTGTTCTCTTCACAGCTCTTCTCGTCACAGCGTCAGGTCCGTTTAGTCGAGCATGCCTGTTCACAGCTCTTCTCTTCACAGCTCTTCTCTTCACAGCGTCAGGTCCGAAAAGTCGAGCATGCCTGTTCACAGCTTTTCTCTTCACAGCTCTTCTCTTCACAGCGTCGGTCCGAAGAGTCGAGCGTGCCTCGCAAGGCGAGCGCAGACTGGTAGAGCGGGTACAGCGAGCGGGCGAGCGAGTCGGCGGCGAGGTCGCCCCGCTCGGCAGCGGCCGGCTTGCCTCCCGCGTCGGCGGAGCCGGCAGCGGGGCGGGGCGTGTGCGCGGGCGGCACGGCGAGCGGGTCGAGCGACCGCTCCTTCCAGTGCAGGATGCGCTGCAGCAGCTCGGCGGCACGCTTGCGGGTGAGGGCGGGGGAGCCGCCGCCGCGGGCCTCGACCAGCTCGGCGTGCGCCTGTGGGAAGGGGAGGGGAAGAGGTCGGAGGCGGTGACGTCTCCGCGTCGGAGGCTGCCCCTCGAGAGAGACAGGTGTGGCGGACGAGGAGGCTGGCTGTGGGGCGGGCAGCGGGCAGCGGGCAGCGGGCAGCGGGCAGCGGGCAGTAGCGGGCAGAGGGCAGAGGAGAGGAGGGCGCTGCTGCTCGCCTCGGTGAGAAGGCGCAGCTGGTCGGCCTCGGCGGCGACGCGAAAGTCGGGAGGCAGCGCGAGGTGGTGGTGGTGCTCGCGCAGCATCCGCCAGCAGATAGAGTGGAAGGTCCCCAACCAGGCGCCCTCCGCCGCAGGACCCGCCACCGCCGTGACCCGGGCCTGCAGCTGCTGCGCAGCGTGCTGCGAAAAGGTGACGGCCAGGATGGATGAGGAGGGCACGCTCTGCTTGAGCAACAGCCACGCCATCCGTGTGCGCAGCACTCGCGTCTTTCCCGTGCCCGCGCTCGCAAGCACAAGCACCGCCCGGTCGCGGCTCCGGATCGCCTCGGCCTGCACGGAGTTGGGCACGGCGCGCGCCGGCTCGCGCGAGGCGAGGCGTGCGATCGCACGCGGGGCCGGGCCGGTCGGCGCCAGCCGCAGCAGGCCCGCCCAGCCGAGGATGGCGCAGAGACAGGCCGTCATCATCGGACACGCGTTCGTTGAGCAGGCGGGAGGTGAGAAGCCCGAAATTCTTTTGACTTGTGTTGCTTTCGTCGAGGGTGGCGGTGGTCATAGATGGGCACAGGTAGGAGGCTCCACACCACCTGGTTGAGTGGGTGAGGCGGCCGAAATTCTTTTCTCGAGCTTCTCGAGTTGGTTATCCCTTGGCCGCGTTGGGAAAGTTGGGAAATTCTTTTGACTTGTGTTGCTTTCGTCGAGGGTCTTCGGAAAGACCAGGACTCTACTGGCAAACTCCTAGCTGACACGCGCGCCCCGTCGAGCCTACGGCGGGCGCGCTGCGGTCGCACGCCTACCCAAGCAAGTCATATGCCACGGCGTGCGATCTAGATTCAGCACATACGCGCCTCTGCTCGCAACCACTCATCCAATGAACTGTCGTCACCCATGAGTGCGAGTTAGGGCTAGCGGCTGGCCAATAGCCTGTGAGGAGGGCGTCCATAGACACCTCACGACGCACAAGACCCCACACACGGTCTCGTCCATGCCTTGCGGCCGGCGACGAGATTGCTAGAGGCGGAGCAAGCCTGCTCTAGTCTCACACGTTCGTCCCTGTCGCCTGTCTGTGTTGTTTGTTGTGCTGTTGTTTGTCTCTTGGCACCTTGGGTGGAGTGCTGGGTGGGGGGGGCGACAGGGGGGACGTGGCCTTGAGTGATGTGTACGCCCACTCAGCGTGTGTGGCAGCCCGCTGGCTGTGTGTCTTGTGAGCTTGTTTGTGTCTGTGTGTCGCTCGTGCGTGTCGTCATCATCTGTCCAGCGTCCACCCCATACCGTATCGCATACCGCGTTGGTGTCCAGTCCGAGCCTGACTGTTCTTCACCTTCCTACATGCATACATCGAGGATCCAGGGAAGCGGACCGCGCACGGATGGGCACCTGCACAGCCTTGCCCGCCAAAAGAAAGCCAATTTCGGACTTGGGCCCTCGGGGAGGCCTTTCTCGAGGTCTCGAGATACACAAAGGGGCCAAGCACAGCCAGGATCAGCCGAGCGGCGAGGCCACCCGCCAACGCTTTGCCCTTTGGTTGGAGGTGGGGTGGTTCTTTTGGAAGAGGGTAGTCGCGGAGGTAGGTAGGTAGAATCGCGGAGAGCTACAGCAAAAAAAAAACCGCGCTACCTTCGGCGTCGGCGAGGTTGTGCTACACCGTGCAGTGCCATGTCCTTTGCGGCATTCGCCAAGTGGTATCCCTTCCGGTATGAGATCCGTCCGTTCACCTTTGGGCTCGCGCTGACCTGGTTTCTGCTCGGCCCCATGACCATCAGCCGCGACCCCGTCAAGAAGGCGGAGTCAAAGTACGCGACGCCGCCCAAGCACCACTGAGCAGTGCGCAATGTAGTGGGGCGTGTGGTTCGGGCGCGGCGACGCTCCGACAACCTGGCGAGTCGCCGCGTGCGTGCGGCGTCCCCCCCCCTTCCCCCCTTCCCCCCTCATGGCACGCATACTGCCGACGGGGTGCGAACCGGGCTGCTCCGCGTGCAGTCGTGAGGGGGGTGGGGCCAGGTCGTGGAGCGATGCGGGGCCGAGCGTGGAGTGGGGCATGGGCGCTAATGCGAAAACTCCTTGTGTATGTGCCCCTCTTCTGTGGGGGGTGGCAGAGACACGCTGCGTTGGGCACGATTTTTAGTATATGTGCTGAGGGCACGTATGCGGGCGGTATACAGCAGCCCAGCGCTTACATACATAAAATTCACAGCACCAGTCACATCAAAGACAGCACCCATAGAAAGCGCGCGCGTGCACACAAGCGCACATCAGCGATCAAGCAGGTGTGCACACCTCTCGCCTTATATCTCTCTCTCGGCGCAGCCTCGACTCGCTCTCTCTCCTCACGTGCAGTGTCCGGCCCCAGCACGGCCCGCGGCGAACCTGCGGCGAACCGCACGCGCGCACAACAATCAACATGTCCATAGTATGGGGAGGGGGGGGGGAGAGGATCGCTGCGCACGCGCGGCGTTGCGGAGCAGCGCGGACGCGCCGACCTCGCTCCGCGGTCGCGCGGCCACTGCTGCGTGGCGCTGCCGCCTCTCCGCTCCGCCCGCCCCCGCCGCATGCGCCCGCCGGCCACGGCTAGTTGTCAGGCCTGCGCACGCGAGCGGCACGGCCGGTGAGGGAACCGCACGTGCAGAGGGACGGGGGATTCGGGTACGCGGGGGGGGGGGGAGAGTGAGCTGCTCCGAGCAAAGTGCTGGCTCCTCTCCGCTAGGTCTCGGCTCCTCTCTCGGCTCCTCTCCCGCGCGCCTGTCGAGCAAGTCCGGCGCAAGCTTGTTCGCGTAGTGCTGCAGCAGCTCGCGCGCCCTCAGCGCCGCGTTGTCGGCCGTGAAGCCAAAGCGCTTCTGCACCTCCTTGGCCGGCGCCTGTTATTGGAATAGTGATCGCTTAACTACTGTGAGTTGATTCCCGCCCCCTCCCCCTTGGCCGGCGCCGAGCAGCCGAAGGAGCGCATGCCGATCACCGAGTGCGCGTACTTGCACCACCCCTCCGCCGCGAGGGCCTCCATCGCCAGCACGGGCACGCCGGGCGGCAGCACCTGGCAGGGGAGACTCTCTTATATTATACTCTCGCTGCTGAGGACTGCTGACGGGGGCAAGGCACGCCGGGCGGCAGCACCTGGCAGGGGAGACTCTCTTATATTATACTCTCGCTGCTGAGGACTGCTGGCGGGGGGAAGGGCGGCACACGCAAGGCGGCGGCACCTCGTGCTTGTACTCGCGCGGCTGGGAGTCGAAGAGCTCGCAGCACGGCATCGAGACGAGCTGCACGCGCACCCCCTCCAGCAGCGGCACCGCCTGCTCGAGCGTCTGCACCTCGGAGCCGGTGCCGACCAGCACCAGCTGCGGCGGCCTGTGGGACATGTCGTGGACATGTCGTGGACGTGTCCTGGACATGTCCCGACCAGCACCAGCTGCGGCGGCCCTCCGGCCGCTTGCCGCAGCACGTAGGCGCCCCGCGCAACCGCCTCCGCCCGCGACCCCGCCAGGTTGGCGCAGCCCTGCCTCGAGAGCGCGATTACCGCCGGCGTCTTCGGGCGCTCCATCGCGACCATGTACGCGCCGACTACCTCGTTCGCGTCGGCGGGCCGCAGCGTGAGCAAGTTCGGCGTGGCGCGCAAGTTGACGAGCGCCTCGACGGGCTGGTGGGTCGGCCCGTCCTCGCCTAGGGGCGCGCGCGTCCGAGGCGCCTCGGGCAAGGGCCTTGGGCGAGGGCGGCGGCTTGGCCCGTCCTCGCCGAGTCCGATCGAGTCGTGCGTCGCGATGTAGAGCACACCAAAGTGCGAGAGGGCGGAGACGCGCACCGCGCCGGCCGCGTACCCGAAAAAGTTGAGGAAGGTTGCGCAGAAGGGGCGGAGCATGCCGTAGGCATGCATCCCGTTGCAGAGGGCTGCCATCGCGTGCTCGCGCACGCCGAAGCGGATGTAGCGCCCCTCGGGCGAGGCCGCCTGCGAGGGGGGCGAGTCTCGGGCGAGTCTCGGGCGTGTCACGGGACGTGTGAGGGACGTGTCACGAGACGTGTCGTGGCGCCAAGGGGTGGGGGGATGGGGCCTGGAAGTCGGCGGCGCCCTTGAACTTTGTGAGGTTTGAGGGTGTCAGGTCGGCGGAGCCTCCGACGAGCTCGGGCACCACCTCGCACAGCTTGTTGAGGACGAGCTGCGACGACTGGCGCGTCGCGAGGGGCTTGTCCCACTCGAGGGAAGCGAGGGCCTGCGGGGCGGGGGGCGGGGGTGGGACACTGCGGCGGGGTGCGGGGGCGGGGGCTTTGAGCGCGCTGCTGCTGGGAGGAAGCGGCGCGCCTCGCGCCAGCCGGCAGGCAGCTCTCCCGCGCGCCGCCTCTCGAACTCGGCGGCGAGGGCGGGGTGGGCGGCGGCGTACTCGCCGAGGAGAGCCTGGAGCGAAGGCCGGGCAGGGGGGGGGGGGGGGGCTT